CCGCTGCCCCCGGAGCGGAGGATGATGAAGCTCAAGTCCAACCAGACGCGCACCTACGACGGGGACGGCTACAAGAAGCGGGCGGCCTGCCTGTGCTTCCGCAGCGAGAGCGAGGAGGAGGTGAGGGCCGGGCCGGGGGCGAGGCCGGGCCCGGGACCCCCGAGCCGCCCGGGGTGGGGGACACGTTTCCAGCGGGGCTTTAGTTTTAATAGGCGTAATTCAGCGTCGCTGGGAGAGTTAGTGCTTCCCACTTGGTTATTGCTGGAGCCGGGGAGATGCCCGGTGGGCGGCGGGACAGGCTGAGGGGAGCGTAGGAGGGGGTTTGGCAGCCGAGGGGACCGACCATGCTGGCAGAACTTCAGTCCAGCACATCACATGAGATGGGAGAGGAAACCTGACCTTGGATTTATAAAAAGAAACTGGGATAAAAGGGGACTGATGGAGTGCCAGAAGTTGCTGTCCAGAGAGCTTGGGAGGAAGTGGGAATTAAAGGTGGATTGGTTGGTTTGAGAGCGGCCGCGTTGCTAAGGGGCTGCATTGTCGGGGAAGTTACAGTGAGAAACTTCGCTCCGATGTGCGATTTTACAGGAGTCTTTATTGACTCTGCCTTCTGCTGCTGCTGCTGGAGTCAGGCGTACACACTCCACTGCATTTGCTGTGCCCGAGTGGCTGTGCTAAAGTCTTTGTTCTCCTGATTATCATATTTGTAGCTACAGGAAATCGGAAGGGAATGCAGACAGTTCACTGGAGGAAAGGCAATTAGCATACATCCAGTTATTATTTAACGTGAAGGAGGCTGCACAAGCCCTTTGTAGCTGTGCTGTAGCTGTGCTGGTGTGATGAGGAATGTCAGCATTTCAGCAGAAATGGTCTGAAATGACAGCAGTGTGTTTGGTGCAGCGTTCAGTGTAGCTGGTCCTTCCCATGGACTTTCAGGAAATTTATGGACTGACCGTGAGGAAGAACATCATTGTTTTGTGTGGCGATGCATGGGTGGGTTGGAGTACCCTGATGCCATTGTACACAATTAGTGGGGCAGTTTGCAGGCTCTTCTTGACAGGTTGAGGCTTGGCCATGTGTGACTGCAGTGTGGTTGAGGATAGAAAAGTACTTTTAACAGGTGCCTGAGGCAATCAGCCTGTGACTGGTTGCAAGTTTTATTTCAACAGACCTCAGTCTGCAGTGTTGCGCGGGCTCCAGCTGATCCCTCCGGCCTGTGGGAGCTGGTGACAGAGTCCTCGTGGTGCTGGGGACAGCGAGGTGTGTTAATGACAGGTGTCAGAGCCCTCACTGTGCTGGGACACCAGGCTGTGTGGCAGTGTCACTGTGCTGACCCAAGAGGTCGAAGGAGGAAAGTTAACTCATTCCAGAGGTGTGCTGATGTGGGACGGATGCTTCCAGCAGGCTCAGCTGTCAGGTTGGTGTAAGGCTGAGATTTAAAACCACTTTTGTGTCATTTGTGTCTCTGCTGTGGTCTCCACCTAAATCCTCCAATGGATTGAATTTAAAGTCCTTCAGGCTCTAGTTTCTAGGTAAGAGCTAGATTAGAATGGTCTGTTTCTGGTTTCAGGCAGGGTTTGAGGGAGCTGTCTCCCTTTGCTGGTTGTGCTGGGTCATTCATAGGGGTCTGTAAGCTATGGGAGGTTTTTGTGTGCAGGGCAGTGGAGGTTATGGGTGAGCATCTTGTTATCCCTGTGGTTGCTGTTGGTGGCCTTGTTCCTGAGCTCACAGTGACAGCTGGCAGTGGCTGTGCTGCCCTGGGACAGCTTGGGGAGGGAGCAGTGGTTGCTCTGGAAGGGCTGCAGTCCGGGCTGGGATGGGTTTCCTCGGTATGTGCCATGTGGGTGCTGCTGGTGAGCCGCCACAGGAATGAGGCAGGGAAGGACGGTTGTGATCTCGGAGCCTTTGAAGGGCTGTATGTGGTGCCTGTGAGTTGACCCCTGAGCTGAAACTGCATCCTCTGTTCCCACCTGTTGCAGCCCTGCTGTGGGAGCTGCCCAGGAAGGGGGCTTGTCACAAACATATCTGGGAAAGTTCTTACCCAGTCCCACAGAATTAACCCCACTGGGATGGACACAGTGCCCACATCCTGCACTTGGCCTTTGCCAAAATGTGTTAAGTTAAACTTGTGTCAGTGAGTGAAATCAGCAAGCAGGACACCTTATTAATTTTCCTTTCTAATTATTTCTTGGGTTAATTCTCATTTGTTGGCTTTTAAATAAACTTTGAGAGAAGCTGACTGGTGTCCACTCACTCACTTGCACTTTTCTGGTAGCAAGGAAGGTGTTACCTGTACATTTGTAAGTGCAGAATTTAAAATGGCTGTGAAAGATTTCTTGGTTTGCTCTTGGTCCATAATACTTTTTAATGTTACTGGCATATTTTATTGATTGCTTCTGTTTAAATGGAAATTGAGATCTCTTTAAAAGGTCTCTCCAGGGAGGGGAGAAAGACCCGGAGCCAAAGTATGTACATTAAAGAGCTATTAAAAGCTTAGTGTTTGAAAAGAAGATAGAAGAAGCATGTTTTGATAAATAAATTAAACTTTCTATTTAAAACCAGGATTTTTCCTAGGACTGGCTGTTTCTCATTACTGTTTCTTTTAAGTGCTTAAGAAATAGTAGAATTTTGCTCTTGCCTTTCTTCTTCTTTTCCTGCCATGAATTCAAAAACCCCATTTTTTCTCAGTTTTTAACCCCTCATTAGTTCTTGAATTGAAAAAGTTTGTCAGTTTTTCAAGAAGAAAAAAGAGAATTTTGTTTACACTTACAGAGGAGGCTAGTTTCTTCTGTTTAGGTGTTTCCTCCTGACTCTTCAGTTTACTGATAAATTTTTCTCTGAAATCTTTGCAATCCCTGGAGATTGATAAAACACCATGTCCTTGGTTTGGTGTTACATTTGCAAATAAAGAGTTTTAACAGAAAAATACTTTGTTCTTTTTTAGTTTTTAAGTGATTTATTTTTTTCCCTATGCTGCTGGAGGTCGCACATTGTCTCTGCATTGCATTTGGAGGCCGCTGCTTTTGGGCATGAAAAAAAGCTCTGGAACGTTTTGGGAAGACCAAGCATTGGCTGAAAAGATGCCTTTGTTACATATTCTTTTAAAAAGCAGCACAGGGAAAATTAATTTCAATGTGAATGTCAAATGGAGAAAAAAGGGTACATTTTTTGGGCATTGTGGAAACCCCCCAAATTTTGTGTGGTTTCCCAAATGATGATCTACCTCCTTGGGCAGCAGGGAGAGCTGGGGCAGCAATGGGATTCATTCAGAGAGGAGAACAGACTTCAAAGGACCTTCTGGCAGCCAGACACCAGGACTTCGCTATTCCCATCTTTTCACATGGACTGATGTGACAAATATCCCGGGATATTTGCAGAACTGTGGAAGGAGAGTGCTCAGGGAGATCTCCCAAGTCCTGTGGTACCTCTGGAGTCGCTCAGTTCATTGCTTGGGATGTCTCTGCCCCTCAGCACTGCCACCAGGATGTCATTTTTACATAACACACTTATTTTTTGTGTGGACCAGCTTTTTCCATGAGGAAACATCCCAGAAAATGCCCCTCATGCCCCAGCAGCTGGAGCCTTGCTCGGGGTGGTGTTTAAAGGAATAAAGAGGCACCGTTGGGCTGTGGGTCTGCGCTGGGGCAGCGGCGGGTTTGAACATGCCCACATTGTGTCTGTGAAAGGACAAGCTGCTCATTAACCACGGGCATTTTTAAAGACTTTTTTTTTGTAATAAAATGCCTCGGGAAGAATCTTTTCTGCGTGGTGAATGAGGCCTGAATGGAGCTGAGAGAAGAGAGGTTTCACCCAGGGGCTGGTGCCCTGGCACACGCCGAGCCCTTGGTGGTCACGGTGGTCACAGGGAGAGCTGGGCAGAGCTGGGCCGTGTGGCCCCTGGGAAAGCCATTGGAATGCAAACAAACCTTTTTTCTTTTCCTTCTGGCCTCTCCTGGGCCAGTTTTACTCCAGCTGTGATGTAACACAGCAGAGCTGGGATTGGGAGTGTGGTGGGGATCACGAGGTGCTCCTGGGCTGTCCCCTGTGCCTTGGCTTCAGTGTAAGCCAATAACAGCTAAAACCTCTCTGAGTGCTTCACTGTTGGGATGTAAGTGAGCCCAGCATCATATGATCATCCTGCTTTCCGTGGAATACGGTCTCAGAATCCCTGCTCTGATGGCTGGGCTCTGCTGTGTTCTCCCATCTGTTGCATAAAAGAGTTGTGGCTGAACCCAAGTGAAGTTCTCCTGGTCTGTTGCTGACCTGTTACCACATCTCCAGGGGGATGAGGGCCAGCTTGGAAGTGAATCTCTTGCCTGTGCTTCTCCTGTCCCTCTCAGCCCTGTAGATTGTGTAGAATATGTAGGTAGTGTTCTCCAAGCATGGATCAACCTCTTCAAAACCTGGCTTTCATCTTAAAAAGTGTTTTGCATTCCTACAAAAGCAGCTGTCACTAAACAGTATTACAAGCAATTCCATGGTCTCTTGTACTTTCCCAAACAACAAAAGAATGAAAATTGTTAAATTTTCACTTCATTTACTGGAAGCTCAGCAAGCTGTTGTGAAACTGAAGAACTGAGTCTGTTTTGTTCTGCTGCAGCTCAGGGAAAAGTGATGACTATGGAAAGAGGGTGTGCTCCACCCTGGTCTGTGAAGGACACAACAGCAGTGGCTGTGTCTGTTCTCTGCAGAACACTGCTTTGGAATCTCTTCCACCTCAGATCCATTTATTGCTTGACTAGGAGCTGTTTTTCCTACATCTTTCTCCTCACTCCATGTTTTCTGTGTTCCCCACTTTTTAAAAAAACACCTTATGCCCAGTTGCCTGACTTGGTTCATCTGAGCACACTTCAGACAAACTCTTGCAGTGTGGAGACAGGTACCAACATTTGGGGGTGCACCCAGCAGGAGCTGCTGCCAGGGGACCTTATCTTTCCATGGATGGTCTCTCACAATCTAGAAAAACAGCTCTTTCCCTTCTTAGTAAAAAAAAAAAATCCCAACCATGTGCTTGGACTTTTATGTTCTTTTAAAATAAGAAGAGTTCTGGTTTGCTTGGATGGAGCAAAATTAACAAAAGTCAGTTCTACATGACAAATAGCAAACATCCATGTGGGAGT